AGCCTGCACACCATAAAGCAGGAGACTTTCACACCATTAAAGCACCTCTCTGCAATATGTTCACCACAAAAGCAGCTCTGAAGTTATCTGTTGGCAGGTAGACTGAGTTCAGTCCTGCTCAGCCATCATTCAGGGGCATTCTTCCTGTCCACATACTTAGGAGGCACCTCTTCCCATCCACCTTCCAAATTTCCACCACCTTGCTTCACCCATTCCAACCCAACGTGTTCAGCCATCACAAGGACTTGCTCAGAGGAAATTTTCCTAAAGGAAACACTGACGAAGCTTAAGGAAGAGCTGCATGAATAGCACCTCAGCTGCTACCAGAGCCTTGCTGTCAAACTGCGAACACAGCAGCCTACCAGTTTCCAATTACTCTTGGGAAACATTCCTTAATCCATCACCTTAGTCTGAGTAATGCTGCCTTCCAAGGGAGCTCTAAAGGCTATTAACCTTTCAGGTTGCTGGCTCTCCCATGACATCCTGATCATGTGAGAAGAACCCAGGTATGTGCTTTACATACAGGATGAGTAAAACGGGGATCATCACTTCAGAAATGCAGCAAAGCCACTCCCTCTAAAAAAAGCCCAATGACTCCTCTAAGGTCTATATTTAGTGGTCAACATTTGCTAGATGTTTCTGTCACCTGCACAGTGGAGTACTCAGCTAGTGAAGTCAACATAAAACAAAGATCAAGACTGTAAAACACTCTACTTGCCATAAACATAGACATTTTGATTCACTAAACTCTCAACCATCTTACAGAGCTACTGGCAGAGGGCAGATGGATTTTCCATCCTTTCCCCCCTTCTAGCTCTAAATAAGGCAGACTCAATCTTCAGTAAGAGTGACACCCCCCAGCAGATGCAAGGATGCTGACAGAGCAGGACAGCAGACACACCACCCTCAGCCACAGCACAAACAGAAGGAGGATTGCTTGGCAGCATGCGGGAGAGCCTGTGCTGCACACCCACTCACAAGGCAACATGCCAGCCTCACTCAAGGATAGAATTAAAGCAGGATTTAACCAGGCAGCCTGCCTGACCTCAAGAGTGTGATCTGCCTGACAAAGAGTGCCTTCTTAGTCATCCCCAGTGTCACAGCAGAGCCTTGTCTCCTGAGACATGGCACCCAAAGAGTAATGCCCAAGGAACAGCAGATCCCACATGAGGTGGCACAAAGTGGTGGTGGGGAAGGTGTCACTGCAGCACCACTGATTCATCTGGCAGCATGCAGATCAGCAAAGCACTGCAGCAGGAGCAAGCAGTGCTGGAGGGCACACCAAAGGACACTGCTGCTCAATAAGCAGTGCCAGGGGACACAGAAGGTGAATTGGCAGCTAGAGGCAACATCAGGAAAGGATGATGAAGCAGAGAGCATAACATCACTGTCCCAAAAGCCAGGATCCTATTGATTATAGGGATTTTATAGAAAGCAACAATGAAATAAGCCTTGTAGAACTTGGCCCCAAAGAGCAGCCCAGGTTAACTAGTCATTCAGCCAAAGAATGTTTGTTCTGCCACCCCATGCCTGAATCCACGTGCACAAGAAAAACTGCACTGCAAGAACTCCCCGGTCCTTGACTCCTCAGCAGGTGCTCCAGGTGATACAGTCACCCCAGCAGAAATATTTTTGGTGAGTCTTTACTGCACGAGTGATTTCAGCATTTCTCTGAGCTCATCCCTAGCTGATGAGTGTACCAACTCAACATAAAATTATGGAAAGCAGACCCTCAGGTAACTGAGGCTGAATTAGAAACTGTGTGATATTAACAGCTACTTTTCTACAACCAGACTCACACACACACAAAAATTATATATATACACACACACATATATACATACCCCCACAAAACCAGCCATAGCTTAGCTGCCTTAGGAAGCTCAGATCACAGCACACACCTAGGAAAAGTGGTCCTTCTTCCCATTTCATATAGGAAAATGCTTTTTAACATCCAAAGGATGATTTATGTCCAGGAATAGCTAATTTCCTGCATGCCCTGGGCAGCTGGGCTAGGGCTGCTTTGCAACAGTCACATTATGTCTTCAGCTGGCACCTATTCAACCAAGCCTCTTTGTATAAGAAGAGCACAGGGAAGAAAACAGTGCTGGAGGAAGCAGTCCAGATCACAGACCTTTCAGGATCCAACAAGTTCAAAAGTTACCTTAGTATCATTCAACCCTATTAACTACTCAAGTAATCTATGACCAGACTCAGATTCAACATCTAGTGTTAAAAAAAAAAAAAAACACACAAAAGTGAGACTCATAAACCAGACTACATGCTGCCAAGCTTTTACTGTCAGTATGCACAAAAGGTTCAGCTGATCCTCACTGCTTTTAAAGTTCATGCTGTAAGAAACATGTTCCAAACCAAGCTCCTGTACAGTGGAAATAGCTGTATCCTTGTTGTCATTAATTTCCACCTTAATGAACAAGGATTCATTGGCTCTCTTCAAAGAGTAGTAAGACTACTGCTTTCCAGATGTCTGCATTACTGCACTCCTCTCAACTGCAGCAGTCTGGAAAATCCCAGCCTCTGCAAGCCAGTTGAGGAGTGAGCAGCTATTCAGTAGCTACTAACACACCCTGAACAGAGAAGAATCTGGTTTTCACTTTATGCCAAACATCTCCTGTGCCTAGGAAAGATCTGCACAGACACTAAACACAGAGTGCTTTCAGAAGTGCAACAAAATATGGTTTATCCATTTCTTGAGCAGGGGTTCTCTCTTTAGGCTCCTCAACTACTCACAGCATCTCTCATTAATATATGAGCACATAATAATGGAAATATGCATATTTCATTTTGCGAGCCGCTCTCACATAATGGTGCTGCTCTTAGGACTCCAGCAAGGGGATCTATAAAAGTCCAGACACTGCACTGCTGTGCATGAAACATTCAGCAGTACTAATTTATCCCCTGTAAGTGCCTTATTTTGTGATATTGTGTCATAGGTCTTTGTCAGTATTTATGAGCCAAGGAGGAACGTGACAATTTTTCCATAAATTGAAGAATAAATTAAGTGTGCCAGTGGTGTGAGCTGCTGTCAGTATTAAATATCAACTCTGTAAGTGCTTGTCTGAGGCAAATCTGGCATTATATCAAAAATCTTCACTTGTATGAGGCCTACTTAGCATTAACTTGTAACTAGGAAAACGTAAATGAAAGCATTACTGGGTGCAATCAGTGACTTACAGCCACTGTGGGTTTGGCAACCATTTCCTTGTGTGCAAGGAAGATGTGAGAAAACGTTCAAGTCACTGCTGAGAGGATGTGCAGAGAAAAGGAAGACAAAACACAGTGACAAAGCTATAGGGCAACAGTAAGATTTGCAGAAGCTATTTTTTCCTTTTTACTCTTTGATGTTGTAATAGAAAAAAAAAAACCTCCACAGCTTTAGAAAATCTACAGGGAAGGACTGGCAACTGCCACAGTGACATATGCAAGGGTAAACTTGCACATATCTATGAATGAAGCAGCTATAAATGAAGATGAATAAGCAATGGTCTTTCCCACAGAGGAAGGCAAGGTGGGCAGAAGCCAGCCCTCCGCAGCACTGCACTATTACCTCTGCCGGTAATTTGCTCTCACATGACTCCTGTAACAGCTGGGCATTCATCACACACCAGCTGTGCTGTGCAGGCCACTGCAGGCTGGGTCTGGCCACAGGCCAACGGGCAGCAGAGGGGATCTCGCACCCTGGAGTGCCACATCCCCATAGCACAACCTCCATCACCTCATTCTGCCCGGCAAACCAAACCAGGCAGGCCGCAAAGCAGCGTGCCCGGTGCTGGCAGCTAACAAACACAACACAGCCCAGCCCATAGAGGAGCTCTGCTCAGGGCAGCCCCAGCTCCTTGCCTCAGCCCGGGGGCGAGCAGCGAACAGGTGGCCTCTCATCACCCAGAGGGCATTTCCAAGAATCGATCCTGTTCCCAGCGTCCTGTCCTCCCTGTCGGATCACCCCAATCCCCCCCCGCCCGTCCACCCGCTCTCAGTACCGTCACACGCTTCGTTTTCCAGGAACCCGAGGCGCGAGGCGATGTGGCCCTCAGGCCTCAGAGCCTGGAGGGGGGGGAACTACAGCACCCAGCAGGCATTGCGGCCAGGCCAACCAATCAGCCATCGCGCCGCGCGTGACGCAAGTCACCGCAGCCAATCGGCGGAGGAGGAGGAATGTCAACAAACACCGGCCTCGTGACACCGGGCGCTGTGCTGGGGCCGCGTCCCCCAGGCCGCCCTCCGCTCCCTCTGCCCGCAAACCGAGGGTTTCCGTTTCACGCTCTGATCCTGCAGGGTTTTTCTTAAAGAAAGCATCGCTAATGCCACAGAAATAGAACCCTGCTAGGCCACGAAGCAGGTTAACAAAATGTTCCAGGGAAAGAAAAGTCACTGGAGCAGTCGTGTTTCAGAGCCCTTTAGATAGAGCTGGTTTTGAGGGAAAAAGCAGCTGAGGGAAACCACAGCCATCTAAAAATGCCTGCTGCAATTTTTAAACGCTTACTGATTGCCACAAGGACAGCAGAAAAACGCTGATGGAAATCCTCAGGAACGGAGGGCAATCATATGCTACAAAGTCATACTCACACTATTTCTACACTGTCTGGGAAAAATGAAACTTTCAGACCAGAGAAAGAAAAGTAAGAGGCAGGAGTGCCCAGAGCAACTCCTGCAAGTTTTGTTTCTAACATTTTAAGAACTTAGGATCTTCCAGCACATTCACCACACATTGCATTTTGCTGCATAAGCATCCTGAGAACCAGAGTCCCACCCCAACTCCCAGCTGCAGAAGTCTTAGCCTCCAGAGCACAGTCCATACACAATTTGTCACGCTGTCCAAGGAGAACAGAGAGAACAGAGTTTCCCCTATCTTGAGAGAAGGCCTTTTCCCCAGAACACCTATATTTGATTACAAACATCTGTCAAAAAAAACAAAATGCAAAAACTCTACTTAACCTCTCCCATATCTAGAATGCTTCGCCGTAATTGAATGTACTTACCTGGAAGTCATACAAGGCAACGATGTTTTCATGTTTCAGTTCCTAGAAAAAAATTAAACAAAACAATAAGCTCAGAGCAACAAAGGGCATAGGTAACAAAGACTGTAAGAAAAGAGCTCTGTTGGCCTTTACCTTAAGTATTTTAATTTCCTTGCCCAGCAGAGTCTGTGATTTTGCAAGGTTCTTCTTGTTAATGCATTTCACAGCTACTTCCAGCTCAGGTTTCTGAAAGGGGAAAAGCACACGTGTAATTCAGAGCATATTTCCCCGTTAGCACAGGCCGGGTGAGCAGCCTCCATCAGGGTGCTGGCACTGCTGGAAGGCGTCCTGCAGCACCAGGAAAGGCCTCTGCTCCGTGCCCCAACTCATGTTCAGACTTGCCTCGTCCCGAGCTGTGCCAGCACAAGCAGAAAAGCCCGAAGTTTGGGGTTTTGTTGACGATTATCCCCTTATTTAACCGCTAGAAAGAAAGGCTGTGGGAACCACGGCTTATCCCAAGCCCTAACACCGCCAGGCCCGCAGCGAGCTGGCTTTCCCTGCGCTGTGCAACGAGCCGCTTCCCCTGCCGGTGGGAGCACGGCGGGAGGCAGAACGGCGCAGGGAAAGAGGCGAGGACAAAGCGGGCCCGGCCTCAGCGCCACCCGGAGCGCTGCCCCCAGCCTGGCACGAACCAGGCGAGGAAGAAAAAAAAAAAAAAAAAACCACGGTAAAAATCGTCTGAAGGGCCGGCTCACCTCTTTGTGCCTGCCTTTGAAGACGACGGCGAAGGCTCCGTGTCCGATCAGGTCCTTCCTGCTGAACTCAAACTTCCCCACCGTCTCCATGGCGCTGCGGGCGGGGGAACCGCGGCCGGGACAACTTCGGGGCCGGGAAGCGGCGCTGAGGGCGGTGATGGAGGAGCTCCCTCGAAAGAAAATTAAATCTCTCCCAATCAAAAGACGGCGGAACGGCCTCCCCCCCCCCCTCCTCCCGGTGAGCAGTCAGGAGCTGGAGACTCGCTGGAGGGGGAAAGCCGCTCTCCTGTCAGCCCCTCGGCAGCTCGGCATCTGGCTCCGCTCCCCCGCCTCGCCTCCGTCCATGGGCCGCCTCTGCCTGCGGGGCTGCGCGCTGCTCATTGTTGGCGGCCGGGAGAAGTTGGCTCTCAGCAGCGGGCCTCCCCCATCTCCTCCTCGGGACGGCCGGCGCTGCTCCTCCGGCGGCCGCTTCAGGAGCCTCTCCCCATGCCGAAGCCCGGCCCTGCCCGCCCCGCAGGCGCGGCTTGGCGGCGAGTCCACCTTAAACGCGATCCACCTTAACGGCCAGTCCACCTTAAGCGCCGATCCACCTTAAGGGCCGCCTGCGCCCACCGCCCTCTCGTATCCAGCGGCTCGGGGTCACCCCGAGGTTCCCCACCGCCCCTCCGGGCCTCCAAGTCGCCCGCGATCGGACAAAGCTGTGCGGAGCGCGGCGCCGACGGGAGCACGGCCGGCCCTGGCGATGGCCGCGCAGGCGCGGTGCGCGACAGTGGGGGGGCACGGCACGGCACGGCACGGCACGGCACGGCACGGCACGGCACGGCACGGCACGGCACGGCACGGCGGCCAGCCGAGGCGCTGGGGGCCACAGTTCGCCCATTTAAAGGTGCCGTGGCACTGAGTCACGGGCACCTCCGCTCGGCGCGCTGCTCCTGGCGCTGCGGGGGGCTTCTAGTGCCGCCTGCCCCTTGTCCACAACCCTGAGTCCTCCAAAGTCTTTCAGAAATGACCAAAACAGATGGTGAATTTCTCAACGTTTAGTCCCAAAAGCACTTGCTGGGCCCCAGGTCTGCCAGCACCCCTGGGTGCTCCTCCTCCTCCCCCGGCTCCTGGCCTCACACAGCTCACTCACCTCTGCTGCTCTCTGTCGTCCTCTGGGAGCGGCAGGACAGCCCTCAGCCCCCGCACCCAGCGCTTCTTTCTATACCCCTAACGCACCCCGTGTCCCTGTCTGCATCCTTATCAAAGCTCCCACATGAGAACAAAATATTCCAGCACACGTCTCAGGCCCTGCTGTGCATTTTGCTTTTTGCTCGCTGGTGTGGCACTGGTTGGTGCTGGCAGGGATGCACCCAGATGCCGTCAGCTCGTCCTGTTGTCGTAAGGTGGCTGTGCAAACAAGGCTCTCACAAGGCCGACACGCAATGCTCCCCGTCGTGACACCCAACAGCTGTGGTTATCGCTGCTTGGGGCAGAAGTTGGGAACAGGCAGCACCTCCACAACTTGCTCTGAAGCAGCGGTTGGAACAGCTTGTGGGCTGTGGGCTGCGGCCCCTCGTGCTGCAAAGCTCACAGTTGGGTGCTGTTCGGAGCTTAAAACGCTGCTGGAAGAACAGCAGTGTGCCCCAGACCCAGATACAGGCATTGCAGTGGTTGATGTGAGGTTATTTGCACCTCCAGCTCCAGCAGTTACGAGCACGAGTTCAGTGGGATTTGTCCACGTGAAGCAGGCAGTTTGTGCGTTCGGCAGTGTCTGCTGGGACCTTTGAACCAACGCAAGGCTGGGGTTTCTGTGTGATTTCAGTGCTGCCAATTAAAAAAAGGTTACCTTTTAAAAATACTGTGTGCTTCAGCTACTTGTGTGCTTTCTCACTCCTAGGCCTGCGCTCCCCACAACTTCAGGCTTTTGTCAATGATCGCAAGGAGTTATTTTAAAAGTAAACACAGTAAAATGGCAAGCGTTACAAAACTTTCAAAATCAAAATCAAGCTACTCAACAAATAACCCGCACAGGAATTTGCCAGCTGTGTAAGAGCCACTGTTGTTAACACAGAACATAACACTTGCAAAAGTTTAAGGCAGGAAGTGAAGAAAGCATGTTGAAACGTTCCAAGTTGGCAAAATCTCATGTCCTCCTTCTCTGGGCAGCAGCCATGGTCCCAGGGTCAGAAGCTCAGTGCTGCACAGCTGTGCTGGGACCAGGGGTGCCCACAGCTGCTGCCTCTATGGTGCCATCACAGCAGACGTGCAGCTCCTGCATGGCACAGGAGGAGGCTGATACAAATGCTGTTAAACCAGAGGCTGAAATCTTTGTCGTGTACTGCATGTGCTTGTTTGTTCCTGTGTGTGCTGAGGGCTGCAAAAAGAAATGTGTAATCTAAATAGGTTTTATGAAACCTGCGTTCTAACGTTGCCTTTGGCACATATAGCCAGGCAGTAAACTCCTCTCCACTGACATTTATTATCATTCTAAGCGAAGTACTTTTGTTTATAAGCATGCTTGAAGGCTCACTGGGCAGCATTCTGATGGAGAAGGAGGGCTTCAAAGCAGCACAAAAATACTGAAGGTGTTCAGAGGTCTCTACAAGGGTGCCCAGCATGACCTTGGTATCGACCACTTAACATTTGTTAAGCACTTAAAGGGCACTCCAGCTTGTCTTCCAAAAATAGACTAATGAAAAGATTTCAACAAACTTTGCAGAGATTTTAGATTTCCAGTTGACAACTAATACAGTACAATGCTACTTGACAGCAAATTCAGTGCATCCTGCAGACACGTTATTAGCAAAATGCTTGTTGATGTTGGAACAAAGAGGGCTGAAAGACTTCTTAAATCATAGAAGAATTCCTCACAATATTTTTTTTTCTGTGGTTTGCTGATTAAATACTTATGCTCTATCAATTCCTTCCTGATGTCCAGAATTGAGTGAGTGTATTTAGGCCAGCATCCAAAGCATGTAAATTCTGCTCTCCTCTTCTAGTCTCCCATTTGCTAATGGTATGAATGCTATCACTAACAGGTATCCAGCTACTTCCTCAGATGGAGGCAAAACACACATTTCAACTTACTAATGGATGGCTGAGGTAAGGCCTACTGCTGTGATTTATGGTGGGTGGAGAAAAACACAAGCATACACCCAGCTGTGGGAACCCTCACAATATTTTCTCAAAATTCTTTTGCAAGTTCATGCAACTTTATCCTTTTCTGTAATTCGCATGTGAAGACAAGCACCGAGACAGCTGATATCCTGGTGATTCAAATGATACTCTTTTCCAATAGAGTGTTGTAATCAGCAGTCATAAATATATCTGTTTCTGTCTACAGGAATCCAGGAGTGCCATCCATCCTTACCTCAGGGCTGCAGAGGTACACTGTAATTATCTCTGCCCCTGGCTTGCTGCTGTGGAATTGGTTAAAGCTACAGGATTATGTGGGCATTGTGTGCGAACAAGAAAACCCAGCAAAAAGATTTTGAAGGAAAACAGAAGAGAGACTTTCCTCTAGGCCTAAATTGTTCTCGTCACTGTCCAACATATGGGTAAATTAACTGTATGCTCAACAGTGAAAGGTGTGGGGGAATCCTTGGCTGGATACCATCATAAGAGCAGGTTATTTCCATCAGCATATATCTCTTTTGACATCAAAGTTCAGCAATACACAGAGGGAATCTCCACTGCACTCCTCTGTGATCTTTCTGTACACAGTTATTGCCTCACAGAGGCAATAAGGTCTCAGCCAAACATACCAGTGCTTCTGGAAGAAGGGAAATGCCAAACTGTGAGGCTTGAGCACATGAGCAAGATGTGGCTGCACATGGGCTGAGACTGTTAATTGGCTACATATCTCCTCTTCATGTGAAATGGAAGCTTCAACCTCAAGATGAGCTTTAAGATGAGCTGTGGTGCAGCCATAGGTGGACACAGAGGCAGTGCTGCTGCTGGGTAATAAATTTGCCTTGCAAAAATGGCAGCATTACATCTTGAAAATTATTTTATTTCTTGGCCAAAAAAGATGGGCAGCCTAGCACGAGAGGAGTGATAAAGTATGGCTTAGCTTCAGAGCACATCTGGATGAAAAGCAGATGCTATTTTTGAAGATTAAAAATTGAATTAAAATTTTGACGTATTTAAGCAGTAACACACACAGATGCTTTCCACAGACTTCCTAATAGCCAAACATAACCAGAAGTATCTGGGCAGAGCCAAAACCAGCCTGAATGCTGGCATTTTTGCCAGATCCAGCAGGAAGGAGCAAAAGAACTGAATATGCAGTGCTTGGCTGAGAATCGCTTGGTGGAAGGGAAACACACAGGTCCACAAATATCTCCACAGAAAAAGCAAATATTAGCTTAGCATTAATGGAATAGAAGACAAGCTGCAGGCTGTATTTAATGGAAAATTAAAATTACATCTTTTAATCTTACTCATTGTGGATACCTGTGTGTAAGTTTGATTCCGGCCCAACTATCAGTAAGGGCAAAACTCAGATCTCAATGGCACAGCACCAGGCTAAGTGCGTGCTGAATGCAGCCGTGTCACAGAGCCTTCCTGGAGAGGCTGAATGGGTAAATTTATTTGGAGTCCTGACACCATCTGTAAGTTTACAGCAGTTCTGTTAAGTTATGTTAGGAGTATTTGTTCATGTCTCACACAGGATCTGTGGAAACAGCATTCCAACTCCAGGAAAGCTCTTTTAACTGAGAAAGGGAGTGATGCCCCACTCACAGCAGCAGCAGCTTTTGGTGTTGGAGGCACTGAACTAAGCGATGGAGTTCAGAACCTACAACTAACTGCTCACAGCTTTGCAGTTGTGCACACAGCCGGATCAGACCTTTAGATGACACCTAAACATGGACAGCATGGCTAGAAGAACTGAAAGTTTGAACTCAGAGCACAGACTGCATTCCAATGGCAGCTGCCCCTCACGTCACATGCAGGAGAGGAAGAACTGCTTTCCCTGCACTTCCCTAGCCCTGTCAAATTCATTCTGGATTTATTTACACTGGGGCCTTTTTATTGATTAATACCACTGAGAGATTTAACCAGCCACTCAATTATCCTGGCAGGCCAGCTCTCTGATATTTTATTACCCCCTCCCCACACGTACACACCAGCTCCCTGAACAGATTTCATGAATTATTGAAGGTGATGTTTTAATGCACTCAGCAAGGTGCTCTGGCAAGGGACTCCACAGGTTCCCCTGCATTTTAGTATCAGATGCATTTCAGCTGCTGGCAGAGGGCAGTGGGGCTGTACTTAGTATTCAGATCTGTTAGTGCCCATATGAAGGACCATTACCTAACCTGTCTGTCAAACAGCTGATTGCATTAAATTGAGGTTTGCCAATGAATGAGAGTCTGCAAATATTCCACTCAGAGGAGTTTGTTTTCAGGCTAATTGGAAGCTATTGCTTGCCAAAGTGCACACTGCTTGCCTGTAAGTCAGTAGGTTATCATCACACAGTTCCTTACACGAGGTGGGGTCCAGACAGGGCACGAGCAAGTCTGTCACCAGCACCCTCAGCCCCCCGCCTGCATCCTTGCCATGCACAGAGACCCCGAGGTCCATCCTGGAGAAGCTGAGGTTTGTCAGGAGGACTGGGTCCTTGATTCAGCCTGCAGTCTGCTCCTCTGGGGACTGCATCCTCAGCAACAGCTTCAGCACATTCCAGCAGGAATTCCCAGAAGGGGCACACTAGTAAAACTTCCCTCCTTTTAGGACTAATTAGTTTGGAGGTGTCTGTTTTTAAGAAGCCCAGTAGAATATTCAGTTTCAGGTAGGCACTGCTCCTTACTCATCCCATGTAGAGACAGTGGAGAAGTTTGCAGACACGTAAATAACAGCCGTTTAGATTGTAGCAGTGAGCAATGCAGACAGGGATAGGACAAGATGTAATGAGGTCAGGCAGCAATGAAGGAGCTCTTTCCCTAACATCTCATTGTGTGGTTGGGTCTGGATGCAAGCAGGCTGCCTGGGCAGCAGAGCACTGCAGTGTGGGAGCGTTTTTGGAGCAGGTTGGGCGAGCATCTGGCAGAAATGACACAAGCAAGGTCAAAGCACAGCCTTGGACAAGCTGGATGTGCAATGCTCAGCTCCCTCCAGCTTCACAGTGGTTCTGGACAGAGACTGAGAACATCTCTCTAAAACCAAAAGAAGAACAGTAAAGACTAAATCAGGCCTTGGATGTTATCATACCAGCTCCTACACATACAAGTAAGAGCGGTTGGGAAAAATCAAGCTCTGCCCCTGGACATGTTATCAATCAGCCTTTTCAACTGATAAGGACAGGCAGCCTCAAAGAAATGTACAACTGAACACAGGTGCACAGTGTAGTGAGTCTTGACACTGCTGTTTATAGCAGTAAGCAGCTGAGATCAGCATGCTCACTGCTACATCCCAAAGAAACGATCCTTCATCTCTCCTTCCTAGAAATATGCAAAGAGGGACAATACTGCAGCACAGAAGCCCAGAGCAATGAGGGGAGGAAAGCTTTCCAGTGGAACATCAGGAAAATTTCTAGTTTTCAGTGCTTCCAGACTTGGTTTATAGTATAAAAAACAAAACAAAAAGAAACCCCACAATGACAACCACCAAACTAAACACCCAGGGCTGCTAAGATGTCTGATTTTTAATTTTTCTTGCGCATATCTGAGCTTTTTGCTTCATAAATCAAACACCTGAACATGCAGCTGAAGCACCTGGCTGGGGTTGAAGATATCCAGCTGCTGACTTCCTGCTGACAAATGAGGGATGAGTTTCTGAAAGGCATTTAGGTGCTTAAGTCCCCTGGTTCCTGCCTCTTCCTCTCATCTGTGTAAATGACAAGGTCCGTACTACTTTGATTTTGGTAGCAACTGTAATACA